CACTTCTGCCAAAGAGATAAGGCACATACTGACTTTAAAAATTGATTTGTACAGCATGTTCAGTCTGAGAATATATAATTTTTTTTAAATTGCCATAAAATCAAAATAAAGAACATAAGGTATAAGATTTCTCAATCTAGATGAAATAAAGAACTCAAAGGCAATGACTACATAAATATATAAAATGTTGGCTGTGGATTAAGCTCATGCAAGGTTGTGATTTTGATCCCTGGCACCAAAAAAAATAAAATTTTGATAATATAAATGTTACCTATATTCTCCATGTTTGCTAAAGGTAATATCAAGGACATTACTGGTTTGTTTCGCAGCTCTCGAGATTGAACCCAGGACCTCTACAATGAGCTACATCCCGAGCCCCCCAATCTCTTTATTTTGAGACAGGGTCTCATTAAGTTGCTAATTTGCTCAGCTGGGCTTGAAGTTGCAAAGCTCTTGCCTTAGTTTCTGTTACGACTTGTGTCTAAATGTCCCTTCATGCAGTCATAGGTGGGGCTTTTTCAAAGGTGACTGAATTTTAAGTTTGTGACTGATTCATGGTACAATGCTAGGATTAAGGGTGATTACTAAACCAGTCCATTGATTGGCTTGGCACTGGCCTAACCCCAGTAACCTGGACATACTGTAAGGACAGAAGGAGGTTTGTTTTGCCCCTTGCTTGCTTGTTTTCTAACTTCTTGGTGAGCAGCTGAAGCTGAAAATCCATCACACATGCAGGACTAGAGCAAGGCCAGCCCCAAGAATATAGAGCATCCAAGGCAAGCCAGGTAAACAAGCTGATCCAGCCCCAAGAACACAGGGTGGCAAGGCATGCTAGGCGAACAAGTTAGGCAGAGTGGTTTCACCTGACATCAACCTGCCAGGTGTATAAATAAATGTGCCACAGTTGTTGGGTGGTTCTTTTTCTCCAACCCAGAGAGAGGATTTCATCTGACCTCTGCTTTCTGTATTTTTACTTATCCTTTATTTCTTCATGGTTCCCCCCTAGGAGTTTCTGGACAGCTGCACAGGATGTGGTACCTTCTGTCCACCCATCAACTGTTTCTCTTCTGTGATGCTATCTTCCATGCCACCATGCCTTGGAGTCATCTTATTATGGAATGAAACCTCTACAAACTGAGCTAAATAAACCTTTCCTCCTTTAATTCAGGTGTCAAGTATTTCGTATCAACAAGAAAAGAAACCGAGCGCTACAATTTCAAGTGTGTTACCATTATCTGTCCCTTATAGTATTATTGTTTTAATATAACTCAAGTCCCTAACAATACAATTCCTTTCCTGTGTCATGGTAAACACTCATCTCTAACTCCCAATCTTTTGCCTAAATGGAACTGACTCCAGCTTCAGCTCTAAAGGTGGTTGTCATCCTGAATAGCTCATCCTCCAGGCTGACATTGGTTCTGAAGTAGTAAAGTAATCCACTTAGAGGCACTCAAAGAATTTTTGTTGTAAAGGTGTCTGGTAAAGAAAAACTGGGGAAAAATATTTTCCAAGTTTGAGAAAATTGGACACATTCAAATACATATTGAGACATTACCTCCAATTCTACCATGAGTACCACGTTGAATTATATCCTGGTCCAATACTTTTGTTAATATGTGGTGTGACAGCATATTAGTACAGAGGAGAAACATACATTCTCAGGCTCCTGATCTTAACTTTAGCTCTAGTGCTTATGAGCTGTGTGACTTTAGTCAAGTCACTTGAGTTCTCTGTGTCGGTTACTACTCTTTGCTGAGAAATACCCGACACTTAAAATGAAGAAAAGGTTTATTTATCTCAGTTCGTGGAAGTTGCAGTTCATAATCTGCTGGGTCCAAGGCAGGGTGGCTTCATGGTGGAGGGCAACAGTCCATGGCAGCAGAAGATAGCAAAAGAAAAAAAAAGCAAAAAGGGAGGGGAAGCAGAGAAGACTTTCTGTCCCTTATACTGTATGGCTATCCATCCTAGTTTAGATGTAGCCCTCAACCACATAATCCCAGCATTGGATCATGAATCAGTCACAAACTCTAGAAGTCTGCCCCATGAGCACATGAGGCTTTTGGGGGACATCCAGCCCAAAACAGTAACAGTCTCATCTGCAAAATGGGAATAAAAGAACCCATTAGATAGGCTGAGATTTTAATGAATCTCAAAAACATTCATGGTAAGCTGAACATGGTGTAATCCCCGGAGTCAGGAAGTTGAGACAGAAGGACTGTCACAATTCAAGGCCAGCCTGGGCTACAGAGACCTCGTCAAAAAAAAAAAAATCCATGGTACAGGTTATAGGCTCTGAAATGTTAGCTACTGCTGTTGAATTATATAAAGGGAAGTGTTTAAACAGTGCCTGATTATAGTAAACTCTAAATAAATACGGTAATATCTCCAGTTCATGAACACTTCTGTTTGCAAACAATTCCATTCACAAACAAGATCACTGAGCAAAATTTTGCTTCCATGGCCCTCCTACCCACACAAATACCAGCACAGACATCTTCCCCAAACTCTTAAAATAAGTTCATAAACCAAGGTACCACTATAATGCATTTATTATATGACTTCTTTTATGTATCTATTCAACAAATATTTGCTTACTGCCTTTTCTGGTTCAGGCTAATGATGTCTTCCTTCTAGACCAGTAATAGCTAATAGAAATGTAATGTGAGCCACAAAGGTGAGCCCCTTATAACTTTAAATGTTCTATGAGTCACATTAGGAAAGTGAAAAGAAAAAACTAAACTCACTTTTACTAAGTATATTCTTTAATCCAATATCCAAAATATTCTCATTTCAGCATGCTATTAATGTTAAAAACACAAGATAGTTTACATTATTTTTTATTCTAAATCTTTGTGATTTGGTGTATATTTTGTACACTACACCTCAATACAGACTGGCTATCCACAGTTCAGGTATTCAAAAGTAATGCAGTTAATGGCTAACTTGGAGTACTAGACATTAAAGGATAGAGGAGAAATGTTATCTTTGTTCTCTATTCCACCCTGTTAACTACATAATTTTTTAAATTTGTAAAGTCCTTTCACATTTTGTCTTTATTAAAGAATGGGTTCAGTTTTTACAAAAAGTTTTCACAAAGAGGAACCACAGGGCCAGCACGGTACCTGCCTGCCAAGTGCAAGGTCCTGAGTTCGACTCCCAGTACCAAAAAGCGGTGGGGAAGGAACCACAGTAGAAGCAGAAAGACAGTAGTTTATTAAGAAATCCGTCCCCTCCACCCACTCATCCAATCAACAAAAATCTATATCACTTGCCAAGGACTGTGGTAGAGAGGATATACATGGGAATAAAGCTAGTCCTTATTTGCGTGAAGAGAGAAAAAAATCATTTATCAGATAAGTATAAAGAAAATAATCACAGTATAGAGTAGCCAGGAAAGGGCGATGTGAACTGATGACACTTAGGCTAAGCACTAAGTGTCAAAAGTGTTGAATGTTCCAAATGTCATGAAAAGTCTTCCAGGTTTAGAGCAAAGCATGTACAGAGTCCGGAAGATACTAAAAACAAAAACAAAGAAAAAACCCCAAAACAAAACAAAACACCCCACAATGTCGCTACAGATGATCAGGGTGGGAATATATCGCAGGGGGTAGTGAAAGGTGCAATTGGAGGTGGGTGAGATAAACCTGTAAGACAAGTACCTGGACTTTATCTGAACAGCAATAGGAAAGCTCTACATTTTAGGGTCTACAATATTTTAAAGTAGACTTAAATTTAAGATACTGCATTTAAGATATTGTTGCTGTGAGGTGAAACACTGTTTAAGGATGTAAAGATGGAACCCTGGGGTCTCAGTTAAAACACAACTGACTAGAGCAGGTAAGCGAGAGTGGGTGCAGTCCAGCTTAAGAAAGATCCTTGCGGCGCTGGGGATTTAGCTCAGCGGCACAAGCGCCTGTCTTGCAAGCAGGCAGTCCTGGGTTCGATCCCTGCTACTGATAAAAAGGAAAAAAAAAGAAAGGTCCTTGGGAAACATTAATGGCCTCTCCCTCCAGTACATTTGCAAAAGTGACCCTCTGTGCTGCAAGATATCTCAAATGAGATCAATGTTATCCTCCTGTCTCCTTATGCACTTTTTTGAGGAAAATGTTCTCTCCAAATTAACATAAAATTAAAACGTTGTCAATCCTAACTATAAGAACATACAATCTGAACATTATTAAAGTGTTATCTCCAAAATTTACTTTTTCCTTTTCGAGAAGGTGGCTGGGTGATTCCCAAGCAGATAATACAGCTTGAGAACTGAAAAAGAAAAAAAAAAAAAAAAAACAAAAAAAAAAAACAGGAATCAATCGTTAGGACTCTTCACGGAAAGAACAGAACAAATGCCTCAAGATAGGGACGGAATTGCCAAGTTTAAGGAACAGAGAGAACCCAGTGGCTGGAGCAGCAAAGAATGTGGCTCGTATTCAGTGAAGGTCCAGGACATTTTTCTATACCTCCACAATGCTGGCAAATAGGAGCCACCACCAAGAAACTGAGACAGCTGTCACTGAAATTATAGCTGAATTCTTTTCCACAGGTGTTTCACAAAGATGATAAAAGCGTCACTTCAAGTGACCAGAAGTACTGACTAAAAAGTGAATGAAAACAACTCGTGATAAGTGAGTTCTTCACAGTGTCCGCCCCGCCCTCAAGTAGCGACCCGTCAGGAAAGTCCTGAAGACTTTCTCCCTGCCAGGGCTGTGCAGTCCGCTTCACACACGGACCCAGTGCCTACCTGACCCAGTTCCTAGCAACTAAAAAACGGCTTCCCGGTCAGCGGAGCAAACAAACGCCCCAAGCTCAAACCTGACACAATTCAGGAAATAGTGAGCTGGCAGGATGACACTACATGTCACGTCCGGTCGCTTTCCCCCAGCCTCCATTTTGCCGGACGTTGATGTGTGACGTAACAAAACCGCCGGGGGCGTGTCTTCCCAAAAGCCAATGAGATCTTCCCACCTCCCCTTTCTTGTCACTGTGTAATCCGGGCCGGTGGCGTTTAAGGGGCGGGACAGAAGGGAAATAAGGGAGCCTAGTGGGACCTGGCTTCTCTGAGGCTCCGGAGCCAGGAGGGAGGGAAGATGGTTTACATCTCGAATGGTGAGTTGGTCTTCCTGTGGGGCTGTCCATTGACCTAGGAAGCTGGACCCCGAGGTTTCCCCACTCCCACTTAGCTGGGTCCGGCGCTTTCCTGCCCCAGCGCCGTGGCGAGGCCCGGCGTGCTTGGCGTCAGCTGATAGTCTGAATTCCAGCGGTCGAGGCTGGAGGTCCCTTTGGTGAGCACCGTGCTGGGGTCCTACTGGCCCCACGCTAAACTCTGCGGGCCCGGCGACTTCCCCCTGGTACAGCTAGCTTCTGTTGTTTGTTCGGTTGGTTAGTTTTGTTGTTTGTTTTTTGAGGCAGGGTCTCATGTAGTGCAGGCTGGCCTCGAACTCAAAGCGACCCTCCTGCCTCAGTCTCCCAAGGACTGGGATTATAGACGTGCGCCACCACGCCCGGCTCCAGCTAGCTAGTTTCAAGTGCAAAAACAAGAATGAAAACCAAACAACTGATCTGAACAAGGGTGATAGGTAGCAGTTCCCCCTCCCACAAGAGATCGGAGCTAGTCATACACAGCTTTTTGCCTAAATTTCAAGCATCTCAGGAAGAAGTAGTAAATTAATTTTTACTGGAATAGAAAAATTAGAGAGGGAATTCCATGACTTCACGAAGAAAATGACTGGAAAGAAAAGACAATATGACTCTTTCAAGTCCGTGTCAGTACCATCTGCCCACCTGTTTGACTCGTGAAATTCTGTGGTGCAGTTTTGCGGAGTTCTTGGGTCGTTGGAAGGAGGTGCTCGTTCTGTATGAATCTTTTTATATCTAGTGACTCATCAAGAGGGGATTAAGATAGTGAGAAGTCTTCTGGTTGTTTACCCTTTGCTTTATTTTTTTTCATTCCAAAATTTTCTTGTTACCCACTTAAAATTTTTTGAAGTAAGTCCCAGAGGGACAGTAAGAGACGGCATCAAGATTTCATTTGGACCCTTGCAATTTTTAACTCCTGCGGATTTTAAATTTGTTTTACATTCTCTGTAATTAACCAGTTTGATGGCACTCACCTGTAATCCCAGCACTCAGAAAACTGAGACAGAATTGCCTTGAGTTCAAGGCCAGCCTGAACTGCATAGCAAGACCCTGATTCAAAAACATAAATAAAATCAAAAAAGAAAAATATATATGTATATTTGTGATTAATGCCAGTAGTGTCTATCCATTATCAAATAATTTCTTCTATCTCAAGTGCTTTAATGTACTAGCATTATTCTATTTAGTACACATAAATACCCCTTTAGGATCACTTTTCTCACTTCTGTTGAGAAATGCAGTTTTCTTTAAGCTTTTCTTCTGGGGTTTTGGAGAAACAAAAGAGTTCTGCCTTTAGAAAGCTTATCTCGATAGGTCTGCAGAAGAGGAGCTGGGCAGATCTGGGGTGCCCTCACCGGCCTCTCTGCGTGCCTGGAGGACTCTGGATATCTCCGCCCAGACTGCTGGAGTTCCCCCAGGCTTCCAGGTGCAGTAAAGGGGCGAGGTGGGTTTGAGGCTATCACATCAGCCTCCCCATTCCGGCTCCACTTGGAGACCTGCTGAGCTGCCGACGGATGGGCGGGCCCACACTATCAGCCTAGCCCAGCCTGTTTAGCTGCCGTGCCTGGACATAGGTCTGCAGAAGAGGAGCTGGGCAGATCTGGGGTGCCCTCACCGGCCTCTCTGCGTGCCTGGAGGACTCTGGATATCTCCGCCCAGACTGCTGGAGTTCCCCCAGGCTTCCAGGTGCAGCAAAGGGGCGAGGTGGGTTTGAGGCTATCACATCAGCCTCCCCATTCCGGCTCCACTTGGAGACCTGCTGAGCTGCCGACGGATGGGCGGGCCCACACTATCAGCGTAGCCCAGCCTGTTTAGCTGCCGCGCCTGGACATAGGTCTGCAGAAGAGGAGCTGGGCAGATCTGGGGTGCCCTCACCGGCCTCTCTGCGTGCCTGGAGGACTCTGGATATCTCCGCCCAGACTGCTGGAGTTCCCCCAGGCTTCCAGGTGCAGTAAAGGGGCGAGGTGGGTTTGAGGCTATCACATCAGCCTCCCCATTCCGGCTCCACTTGGAGACCTGCTGAGCTGCCGACGGATGGGCGGGCCCACACTATCAGCCTAGCCCAGCCTGTTTAGCTGCCGTGCCTGGACATAGGTCTGCAGAAGAGGAGCTGGGCAGATCTGGGGTGCCCTCACCGGCCTCTCTGCGTGCCTGGAGGACTCTGGATATCTCCGCCCAGACTGCTGGAGTTCCCCCAGGCTTCCAGGTGCAGCAAAGGGGCGAGGTGGGTTTGAGGCTATCACATCAGCCTCCCCATTCCGGCTCCACTTGGAGACCTGCTGAGCTGCCGACGGATGGGCGGGCCCACACTATCAGCGTAGCCCAGCCTGTTTAGCTGCCGCGCCTGGACATAGGTCTGCAGAAGAGGAGCTGGGCAGATCTGGGGTGCCCTCACAGGCCTCTCTGCGTGTCTGGAGGACTGTGGATATCTCTGCAACCAGGGAGGGTCCACAGGTTCCTGAAGCACTGCGGCCTGTGGTGAGTACCCTAACCCGGCTGCGATTGAAGAACTGTGGAGCTTCCAAGGGGCAGGTGGGCGCACAGTGTCCCTGAGGCCCAGCTTGTCTGGAACTGCGGAGTTCTGAGCAGGCAGAGGAGAGCCACTAGTTCTGTAGGCCCAAAGGCTTGGGGTAGCGTGGTGCCAGAGTCTCAGTAGCTCCAAACATAGAAGGGGATTTTCAACAGATCCTGAGGTAGCTTTCAAATAACACTTGAAACACAGAAATATAGGAAAATGACAAAACGAAAGACTAAATTACAACCTCAAACCTCCAGCCCATCTCAAGAAACCCTAGGAGCGATGTATATAGAAGAAAATATATCCCATCCACCTCATATATCGGACACAATAGCCACTGAAATTGACAAGCAACTCCAGGAAGCTTTAAAGAAATTCAAACTCGAAATAATCTCCCAGATAAAAGAAGAAATGATAAAAGAAATGAAAGAGATTCTAAATATATCTAAAGAAAACACAGATAAAAAATTGGAGGAACTAAACAAAAAGATAGAATCCCTAGATGAGCAATATAAGAAACAAACAGAATACATAATGCAGATGCACAGAGATATACAGGAAATAAAAAACTCCACTGAAAGTTGTAAAAACCGCCTTAATGAAAGTGAAGATAGAATTTCAGACCTTGAAGACAGGATTGCAGCTAGTGAACAGGAAAGGAAAGATCTTTTGAAAATAACAAGGAATCAGGAAACAACAATTCAACAACTGCAGGACGATGCAAAGAAGAATAACATAAGAATGATAGGGATTAATGAAAGAGAGGGAGACAACATGAAGGATGTCAGGAGGATATTTAGAGAAGTAATAGCTGAAAATTTCCCAAGCATGAGATCAGAAACTGACATCAGGATCAGCGAAGCATATAGAACTCCAAACAGTCATAACCAAAATAAAACTACACCCAGACATATAATAATCACCATCCCAGAAATCCAACACAAGAATAGATTATTAAAAGCTGTCAGAGAGAAAAAACAGATCACTTATAAAGGAAAACCTATCAGAATCACAGCAGACTTCTCAGCACAAACAATAAAGTCAAGAAGAGCATGGAGTGAAGTATTCCAGATCCTAAAGCAAAACGATTTCCAACCGAGACTGATATATCCTGCAAAACTATCATTCAAAATAGATGGTGCAATACGATACTTCCATGACAAAGAACAGCTGAAGAACTTCATGAACACCAAACCAATCCTGCAAAAAATATTGAAAGACAGTTTAGAAACACAAAGGAAAAACCCACTAAGCAAAGCAAATAATTAAACAGAACAGAAAGATAAAGATGCAACAGCAAAGAGATAACATTCCTACAATTAATCAGCATTTAACAGTAATAACCATTAATGTAAATGGTCTCAATGCACCAACTAAAAGAAACAGACTAGCAGAATGGATCAAGAAACAAAATCCAACCATATGCTGTTTACAGGAAACCCATCTAACCCAGAAGGATACTCACAGACTGAAAGTCAAAGGATGGAAAACAATTCTCCATGCAGCAGGAATCCAAAAAAAGGCAGGAGTAGCCATCCTGTTTGCAGACAACGTGAACTTTAAACCAACAATGACCATAAAGGACAAAGAAGGTCACTACATACTCGTAAGGGGAAAACTCCAAGAGGAAGAGATAACTATCTTAAATATATATGCACCAAACTCCAGAGCACCCAGTTATATAAAACAATTATTAACAGAAATGAAAACTCAAATTATCAGTAACACAATTGTAACAGGAGACCTTAATACACCACTGACACCAAGGGACAGATCAACCAGACAGAAAATGAGCAAAGAAATAACAGAACTGAATCACACCTGTGAACAAATGGGTTTGATAGACATATACAGAATGTTCCACCCAACAACATCAGAATACACATTCTTCTCAGCAGTACATGGATCATTTTCTAAAATAGACCATATATTAGCTCACAGAACATATTTAAGCAAATGCAAAAAAGTTGAAATCATCCCTTGCATATTATCAGATCATAGCGCTCTGAAATTAGAAATTAATGACAAAAGATACTGCAAAAATTCCACAAACACATGGAAACTAAATAACACACTCTTGAGTAATCAGTGGGTCACAGAAGAAATTAAAGAAGAAATTAAACAATACCTAAAAGAAAATGAAAATGCAGATACAACTTACCGGAATCTGTGGGATGCAATGAAAGCCGTTCTGAGAGGAAAATTTATTGCACTGAGTTCCCACATCAGGAAAACAGAACGAATACAAATAAATAACTTGATGCTACACCTCAAACAGCTAGAAAAAGAAGAGCAAGTCAAGCCCAAAGCCAAAAGAAGAGAGGAAATTATAAAAATCAGAGCAGAAATCAATGCAATAGAGACTAAGAAAACAATCCAAAGAATCAACGAATCAAAGAGTTGGTTCTTTGAAAGAATAAATAAAATTGATAAGCCCCTAGCCAACCTTATTAAAAAAAGGGAAGAAAAAGCTCAAATTCATGCAATAAGAAATGAAAAAGGAGAAATCACTACAGACCCAATAGAAATACAGAGGATCATCAACACCTATTTCGAAAACCTCTACTCTCAAAAGTTTGATAACACAGAAGAAATAGACAGATTCTTAGAAGCATATGAAGTACCAAAGCTAGATCAAGAGGATATAAAACTGTTGAATAACCCAATCTCTGCTAATGAACTTGAAAAAGTAATTAAGGCCTTACCCACCAAGAAAAGCCCAGGCCCAGATGGATTCACTGCAGAATTCTACAAGAAATATAAAGAAGACCTAATGCCGACACTCCTCAAACTATTCAATGAAATTGAAAGGGAAGCAATCCTTCCTAAGTCATTCCTGGAAGCAAATATTACTCTAGTACCAAAACCTGAGAAAGACCCAACTATAAAAGAGAACTATAGACCGATCTCCCTAATGAACACAGATGCAAAAATCCTCAATAAAATATTGGCAAATAGGATCCAGCAAATCATCAAGAAGATTATACACCATGACCAAGTGGGATTCATCCCAGGAATGCAAGGATGGTTCAACATACGCAAATCAATAAATGTAATCCACCATATCAATAAAGCCAAAAATAAGAATCACATGATCATCTCTATAGATGCAGAAAAAGCCTTCGATAAGGTCCAACACTTATTCATGATAAGAACTTTACAGAAAATTGGAATAAATGGTCTTTACCTCAATATAATAAAGGCCATTTATGACAAACCAACAGCCAGCATCATACTAAATGGCCAAAAATTGAAAGCCTTTACTTTAAAATCGGGCACAAGACAAGGATGTCCTTTATCACCACTCCTATTTAATATAGTACTGGAAGTACTAGCCAGAGCAATTAGGCAAGAAAGAGAAATAAAAGGGGTAAAGATAGGAAAAGAAGAAGTTAAATTATCATTGTTTGCAGATGACATGATACTCTACATAGAAGACCCCCTAAACTCCATTGAAATACTCTTAGATACAATAAATAAATTCAGTAATGTGGCTGGATACAAAATCAATACTCAGAAATCAATAGCATTCCTATACACGAACAACAAAATTACAGAGAGGGAAATAAGAGAAACTGGACTATTCACATTAGCAAGCAAAAAAATGAAATATTTAGGAATTACTCTTACGAAAGAAGTCAAAGACTTATACAGTGAAAATTACAATACACTGAAAAAGGAAATTGAAGATGATCTCAGAAAATGGAAAGACATCCCTTGCTCATGGATAGGAAGAACAAACATTGTGAAAATGGCCATTCTCCCAAAACTGTTATACAGATTCAATGCAATCCCAATAGAAATTCCATCAACATACCTTATAGATCTAGAGAAATCACTCCTAAATTTCATCTGGAACCAGAAGAGACCCAGAATCGCAAAGGCAATTCTAAGCAGCAAAGACAAAGCAGGAGGCATCACAATCCCTGACTTGAAGTTATACTACAAAGCAACAGTAGTAAAATCAACATGGTATTGGAATCAAAACAGAGCCGAAGATCAGTGGAATAGATTAGAAGATACAACCACAACTACGAACACACTCAACCACCTTATCTTTGATAAAGGAGCCAAGCAGGTTCACTGGAAGAACGACAGTCTCTTTAATAAATGGTGCTGGAAAAACTGGCTCTCCATTTGCCGAAAACTAAAGCTAGACCCATGTCTATCACCATGTACTAAATTAAAATCTAAATGGGTCAAAGATCTGAATATTAAAACAGAAACACTAAATCTATTGGAAGACAAATTAGGTAGAAACCTTGGAGACATAGGAGTAGGTAAAGAATTCATGAACAGGACTCAAACCGCACGGGAAATACTTCCCAGAATCAATAACTGGGACCACTTCTTATTAAAAAGTTTCTGCATGTCAAAAGAAATCTCCAGCATAGTGAAAAGAAAACCCACAAACTGGGAAAAGATTTTAGTGAACTCTCTCTCAGACAAGGGCCTCTTGTCTAAAACATATAAAGAATTAAAGAAACTCAGACCTCCAAAATTCAAAGATCCAATCCAAAAATGGGCATCTGAGATGAATACGCAATTCTCAGATGAAGAAATGCAAATGGCAAATAAATACATGAAAAAATGCTCATCATCATTGGTCATTAGAGAAATGCAAATTAAAACCACACTGAGATACCATCTCACTCCTGAAAGAATGGCCAGGATCAAGAAAACCGACAACAAATGCTGGAGAGGCTGTGGGGAAAAGGGAACTCTCCTGCACTGCTGGTGGGAGTGTAGACTGGTACAGCCTTTGTGGAGATCTGTCTGGAGATTTCTCAAAAAGTTGGGACTGGAAGTCCCATTTATTCCAGCTATTCCACTTCTAGGCATATTCCCAGAAGAACTGAAAGCATCATACCACAGTGATATATGTGCACCTATGTTTATAGCAGCACAATTTGTAATCGCCAGATCATGGAAACAACCCAAGTGTCCATCAACTGAGGAATGGATAAAAAAGTTGTGGTATTTCTATACAATGGAGTATTATTCAGCTATAAAGAAGGATCACATTGAGATATTTATCAATAAATGGGCGCAGCTTGAGACCATACTCATAAGTGAAATAAATCAATCTCGCATGTGTGAATACCGAATAGTTTCCCTAATGTAAGTAATGATTCAAATATATAAAAATATGTGGTAATCATGATTCCCCATTAGGTGGCCTTGGAGCCTTATAAAGTTTTCACTCATTAATTAGAAAGGCTTTATTCTGGGCTTCTTGATTTGAAAATATTTGAAGCTAGAGTATATGAAGTTTTATCCAAATATTTCAAGGAAAAAGACACTATGGTAACTACTATTAAGTCAGGTTATATGGTGGTGAAGTACTAGGTTGTTGAAACAGTCATGCTGTGACCTCTATTGTTATATTGTTATGTCCTGTTTTATCTCAATCTCCCCCTTATTGTTTTAAAAAAATTAGTCATTTCTTATGTTTGTCTTAATTAAAGAAAAAATTCAAATAATTAGGATATATAAATAATAACTCTTTTTGATTTCCTATTAACTTGTTTTGAAGTCCTGTAGTGCTCCCACGATCTTGTTTTGACTGATTAGACGATTAGACTCTGTTCCATTCTATATGGTAGTATCAAGTTTGAAGACATAGGCAACTACTTTGAAGACAATAAGATTCACTAAGATACCCATTCTGGTTTGACTATTGTCTTCTTTGGAAGTCCTGTAATGTTTACAATGCCTAAGTTGTATTGGTCTTGTTCTCTACTGTTTTGTCCAACTTTATAATATCTAATGAGATAGACAATTCTTTTTAAGGAAACAAGGGACAACGTTGATAACCATAGTTGATAAACTTGTACTGTGTTCTACAACATGTGCTATGTCTATCCTTGGTATTGACTGACAGCTTTGTTTTGCCATATTTGACTGTATTCTCCCCCCCTTCCCCAAAAGTAATAAGCACTAAGGAGTAATGAAATCCAAAGGGTGTGAATTTTGTAGTAAAAAAGAGAGGGGAAGAAAAAAAAAAGAGAGCTCTAACGGATATAACAGCAAGTGTGTTTAGGGGTGTTAAATAGCTGACTGTATCAATGTTTGTGGATCATTGAACACAGATGTTTGCAGTCTACCTGTTTGAATGTCCACCTTGTATTCTTTGATACTGTGATTTGAGGAACTATTTTCAAGATGATAATATGTAATATACTAACAGGTGATTTCTTACTGTTATGGTTTTTTTTTGTTTGTTTGTTTGCTTTGTTTTTGTTTTGCTTTGTTTTGTTTTGTTTATGTAGTTCTGTATTACGTGTACCCTTACACCGCTTTGGTTTGTTTTGTGTTTTTCTCTTTTTCCTCTTAAATAAAAAAAAAAAAAAAAAAAAAAAAAAAAAAGAAAGCTTATCTCCTTTTCAGGAGGGAAAATGTAAACAGCAAGATAAGATGATGGATGGGCATTTAAACATTTCTTTCCCCTGGAAATCAATGAGTTCAGATTAGATCAATCTTTTTAGAGGGACTGCATTTATCAGTACTGTATGTATAACTGATGAAATATTTCTCTCACTGTCAGATAACTTTTATTTATTTATTGTCTTTTGGAGACAGGGTCTCACTGTGCAGTTCAGGCTGGTCTTCAGCTCACTTTGTAGCCCAGGCTGATCACCAACTCACAAGGATCCTCCTTGCCCCACCCTTCTGAATGTTGGGATTAGAGGCATGTACCACCAGGTACATTGAGATGACCTTTTTTCTCTTTTCAAAAATTCCATATAAAAGCTAGCCTTGGAATACTTTTTCTCAGAGAAGGGAAATGTCACACCAGCCAACAAAGTACAGCTACTGAGAGGCAGAACCAAGCCCAAACCTACTCTCTGACCTGTAGCCTTTCTTTTTCACTGCCTCAGTGAGAGCTTAGACCTAAGTGGACCAACCTGAAATTAAGCTGGTCCAGGAGAGAAAAAGTAAACCTGGTAGTGCAGTTGAGCGAGTAAACCCTGGAAATGAGGTAGAGGTGAGGTAGCTGGTGAACAGCTGTTCTCTCAAAATATTCCCAACTCTTGACTTGCATGGCTGAAACTAACCTTTCATGTAATAACCACTGTCATTTAAAGAGGTTTGAAAAAAATCTAAAAAAATTAGATCCAATTATGCTTTGGGTAACACTGTGGTTATAACTAAGAGTATCTTGTTAGAAAAAAAATAGTGGTCATTTTAATGAAGGCAATCCAAATTCTGTTTAGTACTTAAGAACCTAGAAACTCTTTGATTTATAGAGGTTTGATCACAATAATCCTAAAGATTTGTGATTGAGTAATCTTTTTATATAGACAAGAGACTGTAGATGAAAAGAAACATGCAGAATGTGAACCATTTAGGAAAATAGAAGTGATTAAGCATTTCTTTATATTCACCCAACCTACTTGTTTATTCAAAATATTTGTGTAAACAGATCATTGCCTGCCCATGTACATAGTAGCATGACTCACAGCAAGCAACCTGTGTTCATCTGTTGATGGATAAAATGTATGCACGTACAAAGAAGTACTGTTTGGTCTTTAAAAAGGAAAAGGTTTTTTGACAATTGGCAGATGTACTAAATAAGGTGAGCACAAAAGACAGGCATTTTATTGTTGGTAGCCTTGTCTTAATTTATTGTTGGTAACCTTGTCTTAATTTATTGTTGGTAGCCTTGTCTTAATTTTGGTAATTATCTTCCTAAAGCCAGACCTGTCTGTTTTACAATGTCAAATGACCATCCCTCACTTTCTCTGTAGTACTTGATTTTCACATGTGTGTGCCCTTTTTATGCTTTATACAGTAAGTAGTTAAATAAGGGCACTTGTCATATGAAGTTTCTACAGTAGTTAAATTCGTAATCAAAAAATAGAATGTGTGTTGCCAAGGGCTTGGGCGGTAGATAATGGAGAGGAAGAATTTAATGGATACAGAGTTACAAGTGGGGAAGATAAAATTTCAAGGTGGATGGTGGTGAGCGTTATCATACTTTATGCTGCACAACTGTACTTAAAAATAGTTAAAATGGAAAATTTTGTGTTATATAGATTTTATCACTGAAATGTTTGATTTAATGTATTTTACCAATAAAATTGATTAGAATGAAATCACCCTCTAGACTTAAGTACTATAGCTAGGCATTTGTCATATTAGGGGATAACCCCTAAGTCATGCATCTCTTCCTCATACTTCCTTAGAATGGTACACACACACACACACACACACACACACACATATTGTGGGTTTCTTAAGTTGGCTATGTAGAACAGTAGCTGAGTTTATCATTGTTACCCATTTAATTAAACATAATCCCTCTCAATTGGGAATTTGTTTTTGTTTTGTTTTGTTTTTGGAGGCAGAATCTCACTATGGAGCCCAGGCAGCCTTGAACTCCGTAAGGATCCTCCTGCCTCAGCTTCCCAAGTGCTGGAATTATAGGCATGCGCCACCATTCCCAGCTTGGGTTACCAATTTGTAACACTCACTAAAGTTTCCTCATTCTTTACAGGACAAGTGTTGGACAATCGCAGTCAGTCTCCATGGAGACTGTCATTAATAACAGATTTCTTCTGGGGAATAGCCGAGTTTGTGGTTTTGTTGTAAGTACAGTAGTACCCTGGATTTCCCTGTTGTTTTAAGTTGCCAGAAGTACACTAAGGGTGTCTTATGTTGGGTATCTCAAGCTATACAAACTTAGCTTTCCTGGAGCAATTAATAATTTTCATTTTTAAAAATAGCTTTACAAAGAAAAGTTAATACTTCTTTAATTATGAAGCTGCTGCCACTAAATGTCTCACAATTGCGAATATAAATTAGTTGGGTCAGTAAGCTTGACCATGTCTTAACTAACTAAGTAGCTAACTTTTTGGAATGCAGTTAGAATTGATGCACAGACGAAAAAAATTAAGCTTCCACATCATTTCAAGTAATTGTAAATTAAATATATTTGTATATTATATATTTGTATATTAAATATATTTTTGGCTTTCCATATGCTGTTTGTTTGATCAAGATCAATCAACTACTAACAGGTTTTACTGGTCTTGAGTATATATTTGAATGTCTGATAGGGAAGCAAAGAAGTGTGAGACTCCTTCATTGACTGTGATGTTAGTGATGCCTTTAGATTGTCAAGTGTGGATATCAGAGGTCCACATGGAGGAAAATGTATGAAGAATACACAGAAGTTCAGCTATCAATCTGTGATCATTCTTTGCTGATAGATGTGGTTTAGAAAGTTTAATTTTGGGCCAAGAATATAGCTCTGTGGCACAATGCCTTCTTGGCAAGCGTGAGGTCCTGAGTTCAGTTCCTGGTACCCTCCTCCCCAAAGTTTAATTTTATGGCTGTGTAGAGCATAAATTAAAAGAAGCAAAATGTAAAATGAAAGAACTGGTTCCACAGAAAAATATAATGGAGACAACAGAGGATCCTAAATTGAGCATGAAACTTACAGTGATTTATAAATTTCAATTATTTCAAATAAAAGAAAATCCCATTTCAGTGGATTCCCAGAAGCCCCATTTCTCTGTCGTACACCCTCAGCCGCTTACTCCTCAAAGAGGTTCCATAGCTTGTATTCAGGAGAAATCCAGGGGAAGGAGTCTGGGATACTATAAAATCAGACCCTGGAGCCTCCCAATGGAGTAGGAGCGGAGGAAGAAAGCCAAAGATGATTCTGCTTTCATGTTGTGTCTAGGGGAATTATTAGCAAGAAAGGAATGGAAGGAACAGTGGCTTAGACTGGTGCCAAAAATAGTGTCATCCAGCTGACTGCACAAAATGTGGATGCAGATCTATGAAGTCTAATATCTTTCATGGCGACCATGAAACCGTATTTCCGGTTAAGACTATGGGAATATATGTTATAATACTGGCAACAGTGATACCTATTTTTGTCCCTTGTTTCAGTTTCAAAACTCTGCTTCAACAAGATGTGAAAAAAGGAAGAGGCTACAGAAACTCATCTGATTCCAGATATGATGATGGAAGAGGGTATATCTTTTTTTTGATAATAGTTATTTACCCCTTTGTGTATTAAATTAATTTGACATTTAAATAGATAGAATTAGGCTTTTGAAAATTAGCAGTTTAAATCCCATTTTATAAAATGAATGGGTTGTTGTAAGTTAAAAAGCAAAGTTACCTCTGATTTGATAAAGTTAATCTGACAAAGCTAAAATACACATTGAATGTCCTATGGGAAGAACCTAAATTAAAGGATGAAAACATAGTCACCATTAAAATCTGGAGATTTCATTTAATAGTTTGCATTTCTAGCTGCTGCTGAAAACCTCAGCAGATCATGAGAGCCAGCTAACACTGGGCTAGGCTTGCGTTTCCACAAGGCAGGAACTAGCTGGAATTGCTTTTCGTTTGGGCACCTACAGGAAGTGCTGTAGTTTACCCCAGTCCTTACTTGACTCCTTTTCCTCACATGTATGATAGGTCTGATCCCTGTAAGTGCTTAAATGGTAGTTCTGAAAGAGTCTTTTTAGGAATGGATGGTTAGTGAATGTTTAAAAGAAATCCATTGAAATTTTGTCTACCAAACAGTGGATATTCAAGCCAGGCAGGGTAGTGGTTTATGCCTGTAATCCCAGCATTTGGGAGGCTGAGATAGGAGGATCAAAGCAGGCAGCCTAAACTACAAAGCAAGATCCTGTGTCAAAAACAGTGACTATTTTATCTTTTATTAGGCCACCAGGAAACCCTCCCCGAAGAATGGGGCGAATCAATCATCTTCAAGGTCCCAGTCCTCCTCCAATGGCTGGTGGATGAGGAAGGTAACGTAAAATCTGAAATTTTGTAGAATTTTATTTTGATAATCCCTCCTTAGTAAACAGTGATCGCTAAACAGCTTGTAATTACAACCAACAGTATTATTTAGAAAAATATTCATACCTTAATCTTTGAAAAATTCTTTAACTTCATTAAAACACATTTTAGGAAAAGTTTATAACATGTAACATGTTGGACTTTTCAGACAGGTTCAATTTAATAACTGAGTATAACCTTTTCCTTTAGGTAAATGTCTGCTGTAAGAAGCAGACAACTAGACAATACACATTCATAGCAGAAGGAAATCATCAAAAAGCGAAGATCAGACTGGTGGACACATTGATGAATGTGTATGTCTCAACAAGAATTGCTCTGTGTTCTCACAGATAAATGAGGTCACGCCAGGAATTCTCTCAGCAGGGATCTGGCTTGACTGATACGCAGTTCTCTAAATGCATATGTTGTCTCATTGTCTTTTTTGTATAGTTTATTAAAGTATTGATATAATTTTAATAAATATTTTTAGGTTGCATACTGACCCTTCATCTTTATATAATTAAATCAGAAACTCTGAACCTGAATAAATAAAAGGCTGTGTTATTTAGTACTATTGGTGTCCCCTTTTTTTCAATTTCTGAAGCAATGTTCACTGTTCATTTGTTCTCATTTATAAATAAATTGCTATATTTCAGTAGTATCCGTGTATCTGTGCTCTCGAATTGATGTATATATTGTGGTACTGGGGATTGAATCCAGGGCCTTTGCACTGAACTATATCCCCAGCCCTTTTTAGTTTTCCTTTTGAGACAGAATCTTCTGTGTTGCTATTTTGTCTGGGTTGGACTTCAACTTGTGATCCTCCTGCCTCAAGAATGCTGGGATTATAGGAATGCACTATCATGCCCAACAGTTTTTATCTTTAATGTGTTTATCCCATGAATCTTTAATGCATTTTGTCTGATTTGCTATCAAATATAATTAACAGCATATTTATAAAGCCATAGCTGAAGAATACTGAGATTCATAAAGAAGATGTGTTAAATCTACTAACCAGTGCTTCATTATTACCCAAAATATCCACAAAGGACTCACATGTTCATAGGTGGAACTGTTAGAAGGTGACAGGATCACTGGACTGAACTTATCAGTGGAAGAGTTCATAGCTTAGTAGGGGATGGAGCTTGGTTGGAGGGGTGGGTCACTGGGGGTGTGAGCTGAAAAGTGTATTCTTGTACCCCGCTTCCCACTTTCTGAGGTTTCTGGCTACTGTGGGTGGAACAGCTTCCTTCCAGCATGCTGTTCGGCTCTGGAGCCAGCCAACCATGCATGAACTGAACCCTGCTGAAACCATCAACCAAAATAAACCTCACTCTAAATTGTGTCAGGTATTTTGTCCCTGTGGCCTCAGAGTGACTAGAAATGCTATTAGTACAGTTCCAGCAGTCATTCCTACAGAGGTAACTCAGCACCCTGTCAGTGATCCAAGGAGAGGCACCCAGGGTAGGGTGCACACTTCTTACATCCAAAAGCCTGATTATTTTTCACCACTTTTCCCATTCATGTTACCTTTTTGTTTCTGTTGGTCTGGACCTGCACACCCCAAGCATATGTTCCATATAATTTCAATAAATTTAGTTGCTTTTTCTTTCACCATCAGGTGTACACTTGCAATTCTTTGCTCACTGTACACAAGAATCCAAATCAGATCCATCATATGCAGTATCACTATCTTGACAAATACAAAGTCTACACCATTGCTTAAGATCCTGCCTATTGGTTGTAAACTTCATCTGAGTGCTGTTAACTCTCACTAGAATAGAAAGCTGTATGAGACTAGGAATTTTATTTCTACCTGAAGCCTTTATGCCGTAACTACATGCAATAGGAACTGAAATATTTATAGGAAAAAATAAGGGTAATTCTACTTCCAGTATGTAATAGACTTTCAGAGTAAGTATATATATATATATATATATATATATATATATATATGGAGAGAGAGAGTGTACAGGAAGTAGATTTGAGTAAGGCCTTGAAGGAAGCTAGTGTAGATTCTATTTCCTGAGCAAAAGGAAATTTATGGTTTATATATCTGGATGCCCCCCCCCAAAGCCCAATGCCCTCAAAAATGGAGCTTTTTTTTTATTTAGAGAAAAAAAGCAAAACAGAAAAAGGGTAGAAATAATAATTTCAAAAAAACAAATCACTAGTTGATAAATTACATATCTCAGAAGTAGTTGCTCAAGTCACAGAATCAAAGCATAAAAAATGGACAAACAATGACAGTACAAACCATTGTATTTGATGAACTAATAAAAACAGCATGGTTATCTATCTGGTACTAATGGGAAAATGGGGCTTTATAAAGGAAACTATGGCTGATTTGCTACTAGAAGACAGTGTCTTGTTGGAAGAGGCAGTCACTGGGGGTGTAACTTGGTAGTGTGTATCTTCCAGCTCCTTCCCTTCACTCTGCTTCCTGCCATGAGGTGAGCAGCTTCACTCCATCAAGGCCCTTCTGCCTTGCCGCAAAACATTCAAGGACTGAGGTTACTGAAACATGAGTCAAAATAGCCCTCCACTCCCTTAAATTGTGGGTATAGTGGTCTTGTCCCAGTGCAGAGGAAAGCAAGTGGCATCTGAGTTTAAAACGCTGGTGTGGCATCTAATTTTTGTTTGGGATAACTCAAGTGGAAATATTTTACTGAGTGGAGTGTTGAGTACATAGAATTGACTGTCTACTTTGCAGTATTTTAAAACATTTGTTTAACTATATAGAAGAGCTGAGTGTAGTGACACAGGCATGTATTCCCAGCACTCAGGAGGCTGAGGCAGGAGGCTCACCACAAGTTTGAGACCACACTGGACTACAAAGTGAGTTCAAGACCAGCCTGCTACAGAGGGAGGCCCTGTCTCACAAAAACGAAAAAATAAAAAACAAAAAAACACTGTGCAGGAGGCCAAAACTGGAAGCTAGAAGTCAATTTGAAAGTGCTGTAGTAATCTAACTGTGGCTTGGATGAGGTGGTGGCATGAGAATGAATGAAGGAATTCATATATTGTAAAATATTGAATTTTCTGATGCTTTGCATATCGAAGCTGTGGACAAGTGAACAAGCAGAATGACATTTCTGATCTGGTGAAAGTGGAAGTCACTTTTGTGAGGTGGAATCAAGAGTTTCATGCAGGACATTTAGGTTTGCAAGAGTTGTATTTTTATACATACAGGTGGAGCTACCAAATAAGCAGTGCTGATCTCAGGAAGAGGCCCAGTGGAAACACAGTATATGTTTGGGGGCTGTCTTCATAGTCACAGCCATGAAATTGCATAAAGACATCTGAGGAATATGTCAACAGGAGCTCTAAGCCCCAGAGAACTCCAGTATGGAGGCTGGACTGGACAAAACTAAGTACAAGGAGAAGTAGGAGTACGTGGCGTTTAGGAAGCCTGAAGAAACACCTGTGAGTACGAACAAAGTGCTGGTTATAGGCCTGCCCACGGAAAGTGCTCGAAAGGCTTTGCATATTACTCTGCTAACTCTTGGCAGCTGAAAGTAATCACACCATCCACTTAGGTCACAGCTCACCCAGGCCGCAGCCCCACCCTTCCAGCTTTCCCAGAATCCTCCTGGGTGACGCCAGCGGCGACCATTTTGGTTCTGGGCAGCCAGGCTGAAAGCTGCGCCTGCCCAGTAACTTCTGCGTCTTGGGGGTCCAGGTAGTGAAGCTGAGCCGGGAGGCCGGTGATCTCACCCGTGGCCGCGATGACCCAGGCCGAGAAGGGAGATGCGGAGAACGGGAAAGAGAAGGGCGGGGAGAAGGAGAAGGAGCAGCGCGGCGTGAAGCGGCCCATCGTGCCGGCCTTGGTGCCGGAGTCGCTGCAGGAGGTGGGGTGCCCTGGGCGGGTCTGGAATTGGGCCTGCGCCCGCCAAGGTGCCCACTGCCGGGCCGGGGCGCGGAGCCTGGCCGAGGAGGGGAGGGCCGGCTGCTGTCGGAAGGGTTCGGGGCCCGCCCTGGACTGCCCCAGGGCCTGGTGGGTGGTGCGAGGCGGTGAGGCCGCTCACCTGGGTGCCATGGGGGACGCGGAGCGCGGCGGAGCTGGCGGGAGCGCCAGAGCCCCGCGTCCGGCTCTGCACCCGCCTACCGGGACTCCGGCCGGTCCCCGCCCCGCGTCTCCCGCCCGAGCACGACGACTGTGGCTTCACTTGCTCCCAAGCCGTTGGGCCAGATGGGTGCCAGGAGTGTAGCATCTGCTTGGCTCACGGGCAGCCTTCCCTCACCTATACTTAAGGAATCGTTAGTGGTTCCCAGGCTGTTTCCTTTGATGATAAATCTCAGATAGTGAAAGTCATCTCAAATTTAAAAGTTATGACAGGGCAGACTTTGTCTAAATAGACATAAAACGTATCAAAAACAGAACAAGATAAAGTCAGACTAATCAGAACAAAAAAACCCTATTTGTGGTATCGCAGCAGAAAAAAGACCTTTATATAAAAACACCTATCAAAGAAAACACCAATATTCCTATAGGAAAATAGAGGGAAAGGCAATGCACAATTCCCAGAAGAATTAAGGAGATAGGAAAGTGTAATGCCCAGTAAGGCAGTTGTAAAAGGCATGACACCTGGGTGAGCCTACTGCGTGTTTATTACAGTTGCACTGGCCTGAACTCTCCACACATCTAGTTGAAGAGGCTGGCTGGGCTGTAGAGGCCCTACCAGTTCTACTCTTAAGATTTTCCCGTTCTGAGGGCTGTTCTGTGGAAGAAGTGTATTTGGGGATGGGGCAAAAATAGCAAAGCATGGTATAGAATGGGTTTGTGCAGAAGCCCCTAGGACGGTATTTGGCACACACAGAATGCACTGCTTTCAGCCCTGACAGTCATGGATGACTTCTTCAAAGGAGGTGACATTTGGATTGAGATCTGAAGATAATTAGGAGGTACAGAGAGGGTGGCAGGTTTGCGGAGGGAGATTATAGAGGCACACATAATAAATCAGGGTATGTAGGCTAGGGAAAGACAAACAGGAAGTCTCATTATGGGGCATGTCAACTAGAGTCTGGCCTCTTCTAAAGTAAAGAATTTTGGAGGGCTTCACTGTCTTAAGACCTAACATTCCCTGTGGCTGAACTCTTAGGCCCATATAAAAACTCTGAGGTAGGGACTTTATCCAATAAGCGGCATTCTAATTTGCAACCAGATCTGTGAATCCAGACCCTGAAGCCTTAACCCAGTGGTGGTGAACCTATGGCACATGTGGTCCACTGTTAACACTGAAAGTTCTAAAAGGTTCAATGCCTTAATTACTATAGCAGTATTTCCTTAGTTTACTTTGATGCTTTTGAGTCCGGTGGTCTGTATAGGAAATTTAGTTTAATTATTTGCCTGTATGTTACTTAATGTGTTACATGTGTATTCTTCCCTAAGGTCGCACTGCTATGTTTTATATTCACAGCAAATCCAGAGCAACTTTATTGTGGTCATACATCCAGGCTCAACAACTTTAAGAATCGGACGAGCTACAGACACACTCCCCGCCAGTGTTCCCCATGTCATTGCCCGAAGACACAAACAACAAGGGCAACCTCTGTACAAGGACAACTGGCTCCTAAGGGAAGGATTAAACGTAAGTCAGAAATGGAGGCGCTGGAGACAAAGACCAAAGGTGTGTCCTTGGGAAGGCTTGGACGCTCCAG